TACTTTTAATTAGGGCTTTCCATTTGCATTTGAATGTTGAAAGTGTTTTGAACTTTGGTTCTTTACCTTTCCCTACTTTGCAAATTGTCTTGATTTATTTTCTCCTTTCATTTGCCAACCTTCTTATCTTATTCTCATTTCTGTCCTTTGGACTTGGAAACTCATTCAATTTGATTTGGTGCTTTTTGTTTGCACTTTGAGTTTGACTTGGATGAGATGCCACTTTGAAAACCTTTTGTGCTTTCTCTTTTTGCATGATCATTGGATGTTTTGGTTGAGATTTCTTCTTATATTGCTTGCTGCCCAAGCCTATTCTCCCATCCTCATCTTGATCTTAGCTTTCTCTTTTACTTTCTTGCATTGCCTTTGAGTTTAGTGATTGATGCACAAGTGGTTGTAGGAATTGTAATTTCTCCCATTTCATCTCACTTTTTGTTTGGACTTGTTTAAGGTTCTTTTATATGCATTTCTCTTTTGTTTTGCATCTCTTTGCTTGCTTTCTAGAGGTTGAGATATGCTTGTGGTGGTTGTTACCCCACACCTTTTTCCTCCCTCTTTTCTTTTGCATTGCATTTCATGTTTGCATTCTTTTTCTTCTTTCTCATTTGTGATTGATTTACCTTGTGTTCTTCTTGGTTTCTCTTTGCCATGATCCCTTAGGATTCCTAGTCCCTCCATGGGAGTAGGAGAGACATTAAAATTTCAACCCAAGCATGATAACATTAGGATAGTCTCTTCCCTCTTCATCTCAATCATAGGTGCCCAATGCATGATAACATTAGGTTGAGTTTAGTCTCCCTTTTAGAGTGTGTCTTCTCTCCTCATCTCTAAACCTCTTAAAAACACATAATAAAGGATAATAAGTGTTGTACACTACGAGCCTTAAGAATTTGGGAAATGATGATTGGGGGGTCTCCTCTTAATTGTCTAGAGTGTTTAGCATATGCCCTTTGGGCGATATGCGACGCGTTCGCTCCTAAATCATAGTCTTTAGTGCAACATGAATTACAAACACAATTCAATTCATTTCTTGTTTAAAAAACACAAAACAAAAACATCAAACCTTTTTTATCCTTCGGGATTAATTGAAAATCATTTTCAGAAAGAGTGTGTCAAGTCTTGGTTCTACCGCAAACAGGTAATTCCTAAGTCTCCAATGGTCGAGCAACAATACACCTAACTGCTAGAACGAAGGTTTAACCCTACGCAATTAAAACACTTGAACCAATCTGTGGTCGTGTCATCCTGAACTATGTTTGCTCTGATTTCTCACACTAGATGAGGAGACGTAGACACAAGACGGCAATGTCTTGGCGAGCAACCTTCCCCGTCTTCACCCGTAGTTTTTCGAACTACGTTGACTCTGACTTTCCCATTGCACGAGGGAATACATAGGCATAGAGCGACGCTGCTCTATCGAGTCTCTTTTCTTTTCTTTTGTCCCTGTGGCCAGCCTTATGGATTAACACCCTTTTAGATAGATAACAAGTGTGGATCCCGTTGAGTACAACGGACGTGAGGGGTGCTCATACCTTCCCCTTGCGTAACCGACTCCTGACCCCGAGATTTGGTTGCGATGACCCTGTCTTTTCCGTTTTTCGTAGGTTTTCTCTGATCGTTTCCTTTCCCTCTCTTTGGGATAAATAACGAACGGTGGCGACTCTTCTATCTTTCGCCGACCTTTTTTTTTTCGCAGTAGCGAAAAAAAAGATAATACATCTTTTATTCACAGTTGGTTGGCAATGTATCTCGAGTGATATTGAATTTTATTTTTCACAAAGCAAAGTGAGCAGATAAAACAGGTTCAAATAGCTCAAAGTGTGGTTGTACACTAAGGAATACTTACAATTTTCCATGTGCTTGTTTAATTTCAAAGAAGACAGAGCTTTAAAATCTGATACAGATTACTACAAATAATACATTTTATGACAAAACTTTTACTTCATCCAACAAAATCGAGGTGTAAACCATTAATGTGTCAAATTTTAATTTTTTTTTAAATGTCATATATTTCCTCAGTTGAGCTTGCAACAGAGGGGTAAAGTATTTAGAGGACACACCTTCAAATTCCAATAAATACATTTTAGAACCTTTTAATTTTTAAATTTTTTAACGACTTATTACCTCGGTTGGGCTGAAAATCGATGGGTAAAGTATTTAGAGGACACACCTTCGAATCCTTGCAACTACATTTTAGCACCTTTTAATTTTTTAAATTTTTTTATGACCTATTACGTCGGTTGAGCTAGAAACCGAGAGGTAAAGTAACATATTTTATTTATTTTTTTATGTCTGACCAATTTGATGAAAAAAATTAAGTAACGAATCTTTGTCGTCTATTTATAAAGTAACAATAGTCAAGACATTGCCAACTCATCAATCCACATCAAACATTAGTGATCCGCGTGAAACTCTCACTAGCCAATCAAAACGTGAATGCCACAATTATCCATCTTGGATGCAAAGCGCTAAAATTTAAACTTAACATATTTAAAACAATGATAATAAAAGAAAGAGCAGGAAAATATTTTAAGGTTGGTTTCTTGATGTAATCTTTTCTCTAGTAATTCCTTGTTAAAAATATTTAATTCTAGTTAGGAAAGCATGAAAGTAACTTATTAATGTTAGTTGTAGTTGTATCAAGTAAAATGTTTAATGTTGTTGTTGTTGTTATTATTGTTGTTAAAATTTAAAATTTAACGATTCTATTGATTTTGTTTATTCGTTGTTGTCGTTTGTTGTTGAGATTTAGCGTTTAAAAATTCTATGAATTTTGTTGTTGTTGTTGTTATTGAGATTTAATGTTTAAGGATTCTATTGATTTTTTTTTTGTTGTTGATGATGGTGAGGAAGATTTAAAACTTGTCGACAAATTTGATGTTTTACAGATTAAAAAAAAACATATTAAAGATAATATTTTGTAAACAAGACTTTATCCCTCCGTTATTGTTTAAAACAGAGGTAAAAATTAGTGCAGTTTTGAAAATCCAAAAAAAGTAGTTATTGGAGATCGAACTCATGACTAGTGCCATTTTTTTTCCTTAGATTCCGAGGGGTACAGTGACAGGTTCCCATGTTACCCTTTGTTACCATGTTTGTCTAAACGATGTTATATCCCTTTTGCGTCTGAGGTGAAATTGAATTATTTGTAGCAGTGGCGTATGTATGAAGTTTGCACTTACTAGAAAATGCTTGGTTTTAATGATGACAATATGAAAAAGGATGATAAATCAAATAAATCTATCATGAGCGAGTGGGAAGTGATCCAAGAGATATTCATGAAAGATGAGAACATCATGAAATTGTATATCAAAGAGCAATTGAGGAAGATTTTGTATCCAGAGACAATGGATTTGAAACCATCGTCGAAATCGGTTAAAGCAAAGGGTGCCGCTAAAAAGGTTAAACCGACACAAAGTGACAACTACACGTGACGATCTTCTTCATACTATAAACATGTTGACTCACATTTTCTAGAATCTCCGCCTCTAAAATCCCAAAAAAAAAATATTTCAAGGATCTCCGAGGACATACTTCTCATCGATTTAAAATCCAAACTTAATACTCTCATGCAATATTCTGAAAATTGGAGAGTTGTCAAGCTCGAGTACCGGTCACCCTCGATTGACAACGAAGGGAAGATACGCGTCACCATGCTTAAACTGAAGATGTATGATGATTTACAGGTTATACAAAGTACCTTTTACCATTACTCAACAAATAGTCTGATTGAAGTGGACACAACGATTGAAAGATTGACTAAAGATAAGGATGTTGCAACGTCCTAAACCACTAGTTTATAATTAAACGTAATGTTAAATTTATGTTAGCAATAACTTTTTTCTATGCAATGTTTATTTTGAAGTTAATTTATGTCGATGTTTCATTATTTTTCCATTGTTCCTGGTTGTTTCTGGTTTGAACAAACATGATATATTCTGGAGATGCGAAAGCTCAGGGACGTATAGAGACGCATCTCCAGATTAACCTTTTATGCATAAGGAGATGCATCTCCGAATTAAATTTTAAAATAATAAAAGTTTCTCATCAATTTTATATGAAATGTGTGAAAATTTTGCATCCGAAGATATATCTTCAAACACTAAGAGCAGTTGTGAATTTTCAAGTGGTAGGATACATATATAAGAATAGAAAGAGAATTTTCTATACTGACCGGCTTACGGAGGGAGAATTGTATTCATTTATAAGCACATCTTCTTAAAATGCCAGTTTGTTTCAAATTTTTTAAAAATAATTTTTATATTTGTTACATATTCCAATAAAAATGAACTTTTCATAAAATTTTTAAATAAAAATTTGACTTAAATAATTATTTTGTTCTTTTAATCATTTTATTAAAAAAATTTAATATCAAAAATTTTAAAAATTATTTAATTTTAAAGTTATTTCAAATAATGTTTTTATAAAAAAATCATTTGCTTTAATATTTAATATATATTTATATTAAAGAATGTTAAAATTAATTTTTTAATTTAAAAAAAAATGAATTTAAAAAATTCATAATTTAAAAAAAAATTCATAAAAGTCATTTTGAAAATATAAAAAAAATATAAAATTCTTAAACGCTAAAACAAACCGGACCTAAAACTTTTAAATACTTCGAACTAGCTTTAGCATATTTCACAGTAACCACTTTTGTGATTGGATTTGTTGGTCAAGGTCTCCCACTCATCTTTTGCTTATTTTTCAAAAGTATTTAAGTGAGATATTTTTGACCAACAGAAGTGTCTTTTGAATCGAGCCAGCCCAGTATGCAAGGCGACGACCACTATTCAGCATATTGTACTATTGCAAGACATTCAAAATATGAGTCATTTGATTAGACAAGACTCAGACATCTTGCATTAAACAGATTCAAAGACTTTGACGTAGTCACTTTAAATAATAGTAGACTAGAATAACAACGCCGACACATATATATTTATTTATATAAATATATTACTCTAAAGCAAATGAAATATAATCAAAACCCATTAGTTATGGATGCCTATACTGCAACTACCACCATCCTGTTAGTCATGTTTTTATCATTACCATATACTGGAGCTCAAACACACAAACGACTACCAGAGCAGATAGCACCAGGTTCCTCACTTTCCCCTACTGGCAGTGATTACAAATCTTTATGGCTTTCCCCTTCTGGCCTATTTGCGTTTGGCTTTTATACACAAGACAACAATAGCTTTCTCGTTGGAATTTGGTTGCTCGGTAAGATGAACAGGACGATAGTATGGACTGCAAACCGTGATGACCCTCCGGTATCCTCGACTTCAAAGCTACAATTTACAATCAACGGTACAATAATACTAACTGATCAATATGGACAAGAGAAGCTTATTGTTAATGTTAATGCAAGAGCTTCATCTGCCTCCATGCTTGATTCTGGCAACTTTGTAATATATGACTACAATAATATTTCAAGAATCATATGGCAGAGTTTCGACCATCCAACTGATACTTTGTTGGGGAGTCAATCTCTACCTTGTGGAGTCCAGCTTTCCTCTAGTTTATCAAATGCCAACAGCTCAACTGGAAAGTTTCGTCTCAACATGCAGGTTGATGGAAATCTTGTTCTTTTTGCAGGATACACTACAGAATCGTTTTGGGATGCTTATTGGGCCTCTAATACTGCTAGTGGCAATGTCAAATATTATCTTTACCTCAACAAAACAGGTTTACTACAGATCTTGGATAGCAATAATTCTAGTATTGTTACAACTTTGTTTGATACGGGAAAACAGCAGCAGAAGACTGGAGGAAACCAGACTATTTATCGTGCGACTCTGGATTTTGATGGGGTTTTTCGCCTGTATGCTCATCCAAATAATAATAAAGCAAGTGACGAAATTATCACAAGTTGGCCTAGGAGTAACCCATGTGAAGTAAAGGGGTTTTGTGGTTTCAACAGTTACTGCACATTGGATGATGACAAACCATTATGCAACTGTTTCCAAGGATATAAATTTATAGACGAAAATGAAAAGACTCTTGGTTGCGAAAGGAACTATTCAAAAGTAGAGTGTAGAGGTAATAGTGATGGTTTGGCCTTTTATAACATAGTCCCGATGAAACATATTTTATTGGAGGACCATCCTTATTTTGAGATTACAGATATTTCGGAACAAGATTGCTCATCTTCTTGTTTGGTTGATTGCAACTGTTGGGCTGCACTCTATGATGGAGAAAAATGCATGAAACAAGGGTTTCCTTTGAAATATGCCAGAAGGACACTTGAAGATGAAAAATTGACCACAGCTTTCTTAAAGGTGGGGAAACAAGGCATCGGAAACTGGAAGTCGAATGATACACTCTCCCCCCTACAACCATCACCGCCTCCAATCAAGACTACCGGTAACGAAGCAGTGGTGCATATTATTGTTGTTACATCAATATTTACTGTGCTTCTGGTTTCAGCAGTTGTTATATCCTGCCATTACATTTACAAGATTCGGGTATTGAGGTACAAAAGGCTAACGGACACTGGGAACATTGGGCTGAATGAAGATGTGGCTTTGAGAAGGTTTTCATATAACGAGCTTAAAAGAGCAACAAATCAGTTTAAGGAAGAATTGGGTAAGGGATCTTTTGGATCAGTTTACAAAGGGACCTTAAACAAAGGTAAGAGATTGATTGCAGTGAAGAGACTAGAGAAGGTGGTGGAAGAAGGGGAAAGGGAGTTTCAAGCAGAGGTGAGATCCATTGGGAAAACCCACCACAGGAACCTAGTTAGATTGCTAGGTTTTTGTGTCGAGGGTTCGAAAAGGCTTCTGGTTTATGAGTACATGAGCAACAGTTCGCTTGGAAAGCTTCTGTTTGGTGATCAAAGACGTCCAGATTGGAACGAAAGAGTAAGAATAGCACTGGATATTGCAAGAGGAATTTCATACCTCCATGAAGAGTGTGACGCTCCAATCATTCATTGCGACTTAAAGCCACACAACATTTTGATGGATGAGTTTTGGACCGCCAAGATATCGGATTTTGGGCTAGCAAAACTTCTAATGCCGGACCAAACCAGAACATTCACGATGGTCAGAGGTACAAGAGGGTATATGGCCCCCGAATGGAACAAGAACGTGCCAATATCAGTGAAAACAGATGTTTATAGCTATGGGATAGTGCTGTTGGAAATCTTATGTTGCAGAAGAAACATAGATGTTAATGTGTTGGAACCTGAGGAGATTCTTCTTTCGGGTTGGGCCTATAAGTGCTTTGTTGCAGGAGAGTTAAATAAGCTTGTTCCTTGGGAAGTCATTGATAACAATGTAATGGAAAATATGATTAAGGTGGCACTGTGGTGTATCCAAGATGACCCTCTTCTCAGGCCAACAATGAAGGCTGTGGTGTTGATGTTAGAAGGGATTACTGATGTAGCAGTTCCTCCTTGTCCAGATTCCACTTCTGCATGAATAAAATGTTGCTGCAGTTTCCCATGTAGCTTTCAGTTTATGTATTTGTGTTATGTTAAGTTATCTGTTTTTCTTTCAATTTTACGGTTGTCTCTAATCTAAGTTGTTCCAGCAAGTTACTTATTACAGAACTGGCTATGTTATTTCTAATTTCCCCCAAAATATACAAAGCTGAGAAGGTACTCTTCTTCATATAAAAGCTCTCCAGCACACTATTAGAAATATTAATTTATTATATTATTTATGTTTTTAACTGATTTATTTTAAGTTTGTCCTGATCTTTAAGGATATTTAATTGAGTCATTAGTGGATCCTGATACACGGTTAGTGATTTTGAGCTCTATTAAACATTTGCAATTGTTGTTATTTTAATTAATCATTCAATAAAACAATAGTTTCTGGTGCCTCGTTGTACTCTAAGCTAACTGTGGTATCAAGAGCAAGTTATTAGAGAAAAATTTGAGTGAAACACTGAGATTTGAGAGAAAACACCCGTTGTAGATCAACGACAATTTTCAATAAGAATTTTGTGTAGGCTGCAATTCCTCGTTTTGATGGTCATTATGACCATTGGAGCATGTTAATGGAGAATTTATTGAGGTCCAAAGAGTATTAGCAAGTTGTTGACTTCAAATTTACAGAGCCTACGAAAGGAGCAGTTCAGACAAATGTGCAGAAGGCAGAACTGGAGGCATTGAAACTCAAGGATCTTAAAGTCAAGAACTACTTGTTTCAGGCCATAGATCGAGTAACTTTGGAGACGATTCTCAACAAAGAAACCTCCAAACAAATTTGGGACTCAATGAAGACGAAATTTCAAGGGAATGCTAGGACAAGACGAGTGGAGCTTCAAGCCTCGCGGAGTGAATTTGAGACTTTACGCATGAAGTCGGATGTGTCTGTTACAAATTTCTTTGGAAGAACAATGATCTTTCCCAACAAAATGAGAATTCATGGAGACAATATGGAGGATGTGACCATTATTGATAAGATTTTTAGATTAATGACAACAAAGTTCAATTTTGTTGTTTGCTCCATTGAAGAATTCAAAGATATCGATTCACTCACGATTGATGAATTGCAAAGTTCCTTGCTGGTTCATGAGAAATAAAATCAGCAAATAAGACAAAGAGGAGCAAACACTTAAAGCCTCGACTGATTCAAATACCTCTAATTTTAAAGGAGGCAAAGGAAGGGGCAGAGGAAGGGGTCAAGGTGGTCACGTCAGAGGCGATAATGGTCGTAGCAGCAACCATAACAATAATTCTGCCAACCACCAGAATTCAGACAACTCAGGAAGAGGAAGAGGTCGAGGTGGCTATCGTGGAAATAATCATTCAAACAATCATCACCCAAAATCTAATGTTGAGTGCTATTGGTGTCATAAATATGATCATCATCAGAATGAATGTAGAACTAACTTGAATGACCAAAATAGAGAAAGGAAAAACTTTACAGAAATAGAAGAAGAGGAATCTCTCTTGATTGTGTGTAATGTGACCGAAGAAATTCTAGATACTCTGTGGTATTCTGATACGGGCTGCAACAGTCACGTGTGTGGTGATAAGACATTATTTTCATATTTGGATGAGTCTTTTCTGAGTATCGTCAAGTTCGATGACAACTCCAAAATTAATGTTGCTGGAAGGGGAAATATTATTTTCAAGGCCAAGGGAAATAAAAGTCACAAGATCTATGATGTTTTCTTTGTCCCAGAATTGAAGACCAACTTGATTAGCCTAGGACAACTTCAAGAAAAAGGGTACGAGATTTTGATCAAGAATGGTGTTTGTCGGGTTCAAGATAAAAAAATTGGGGTTGATTGCTTAAGTTAAAATGACGGATAATCGGTTGTTTCTGTTGAACAAATCTTGATCTAAAAATCTCCCACTTTTTTGATAATGACAAACATAAGTATTTAAGAATAATGTTGACCTATTTTAATTTACTTGACAACATCAGAGTCTGAGGTTTTTAAGCTTCCCCTGAGTCTAATAGTTCAAAGGTTGATATTTATAAGCTCCCCCTAAGTTTTATATTCAAGAAAACTAAAATATATTTTCTGGACAAACAAATAACCGAAATAACAGAATTTTAAAATAAGCAATAAATAACCAACATATAAAATCTGAAGGGTTCATATTTTCTTTAAATCCTTCTATATATTTCTCCCCCTTTTATTACATCAAAGAGATTAAAATAAGATAAAAAGATAAGAAAAGAAACAATTAAAGCAGATATTTAAGAAGAAAAACGCATTGTCCCGAGATGGTCAAAGATGCTTTTTAGGGTTTAGAGTAGTCAGAGTCAAACAAAGTATCGAGATCAGTAGACCCGTTTTCATTGGTGCATAGATTCCATATTGTACTTCAATAATTACTTAAGACACATTATAAAAGCAGATCAACATATTTTCCTCAATAATTCACAAAAGTATTTTAGGCAAACCTAGTTATGAAGAGAAAATCTCATAACCGAATTTCTCACAAAAGTGAAAAACGAGATTTTGCAAGAGAGTTTGATTTGCTAAGGAAGGATGAAGCAGCAAGAGAGAAACATTTGGTTATCAAGGAACTATCTGCAAGGAAGAGGAAGGTGTTCAAATCTGATTGGCTTCCTACAGATCACAAACTTCAAGGTTGAAAGGGCGTAGAAAGGCTCCTAAGGATCCTTCCACTGAAGATGAAGATCCTTTTTCTGAAGATGAGGAAGGAGGACAATTATGGAAGGAGTTTGTTGGTAACACTAAGAAAAATGACTAAAGCAACAAAGAAGACTAGAGATAGACTAATTTATTATATTGTTTTATCTATTATCATGTAATTTTCTAATTCCAATGAAATTTCCTTTTTCAGTTTTCAATTATTCTTAAACTAGGAAAAACATGTTTTATTTAATTTAATCAACAAGAAAGATTTAAAAAACATTAAATAGTAAAACATGTTAAATAGATAACAAGCTGAAATGTAATAAGATTACAGACATATCATCAAACATATAAAAAGGTTCAACATCCTAGACTTAGGATTTCTTTAGTAATTCCATGATGCTCTTAAGATCTGAACCAATTTCTTCTTGCCTAGCAACAATGGATTTAAATTCAGCATCCACTAACTATTGGTTACTAGCCATCTGGGTTTTCATTAAAGCTTTACATTTAGTGACTGAATCTATCTTAGCTTCTAGATTGAGTTGTTGCTTCTGGCTAGATGTAATGACTTCCTTAGTGGAGAAATTCTTTAGATTTTGAATAATTGAGTAGACAATTTTTTTGAAGGTTTCCCATCTTTCCTTATGAGCAACAGAATCAGTAGAAGTAAATCCTTTTTCCATTATTGTCTTTGCCTCATTATATAATTCACTCCTAAAATCTTCCAACTGAGAAAGTACATGGTTAGGTAGAGGGTGATAGTTGTTCATATGCTAAGATGGTTTAGGTTAGTTTGTTTCATCTTTATGCAGTGTTTCTTGAACATATTAAGATGAGTTTTCTTTTCCTAAAGCATGGTTTGATGGGGATGAGTGTTGAGTGGTTTCTTGATTATTTGATGGTAAGGGCTGAGCTTGGTTATTGCTTTCTGACTTTGGATCAAATTCAACACATTCAGTTTCATCATTAAGATGATTCTGAACTTGTTGATCAAAAATGGTTTTGGTAGAACTGTGGGAGGGTAATGCAACATTAATAGGCTAGGCATCCAAAACACTTTCAGATTCATCAGGAATTAGTGAAGGTGAGTATGCTTAAATGCTAGAAATAATATTATCTTTAATTGTTTAATTAATGGCTTGGTCATGTGATGGAATGGTGTTGTCTTGTGTTTTATCTAGAGAGGTCTTTGAAAGAACAAAAAGCTTTGTACTTTCAGGAATGATTTATTGATAAGGTTGTATGGCTAAGGTAGAGGTTTGGCCTCAATAGCAGGTGATGGTGAGGGTGACTTTCTTAGAGAAGAATTAAGATCGAAGGTATTAACGGGTTCAACCTTAATACCTGATCTTGCTGCTAATGAAATAAGTTCTTCTGCAGCCTCCACCTCTTTGTAACTTGCACCTGGACTCTCATTCAACCAGTTCCTAGACCCACCATCCTTTTCTATAGACACGACTTCAATCACTTCTTCTAGAGTATTTTCTTCTACATCTTTAGAACTATTTTTGACGGTCTTCACATACTTGAGAAACATCTGTATCCTTCTTGATATTCTCAACAAACTCTTGATCTATCTAAGCAACTTCAAGAAAATTTAGGATAAACTCAAGTTTGTCTCCTAGCTATTCTCTCAGAACTTCCATGCTCTTCTCTATAACATTTATTGAGTCATCGACACAATTTCTTTTAATCAACTCGTAAGATAAAACTTCCATACTTTTCTTGACAACTGATGTCATGAAATTGTCAACCTCCTTCGAGGCTTGAGAAATTTTTGTTTCTTTTTCGTCTTCTAGTAGACATAATTTCACCAGTTTCCTTTTCTTCGATGCAGAAACTTCATTATCCATATTTAGATTACTACCAGATCCTCCTCTAGTCTTAATAGGACGAATATTAGTAGTTTCAATGAGTTCTTCAACTTCAAATTGTAGAACCTTCTTGGAGTTATATGGATCATTTTTCTTCATAAATTTCTGAGCAATTCTTTCTTCATCCTTATAAACTACTTTTTGAGCATCTCCTAACAGTTTCTTCTTGGCAGGAATATGAGTATCTGATTCTTCATTAAAAGTGATTTCCTTTCTTTTTCTTCTCCTTCTTTGACCATAAACAACGGGACACTTATTAGAAAGTTGATCACATGTTATAGTAACACCATACTCACTCTTAGCTTCTTAAAGAAGAAACTTGATGACATCAAGGTTATCTTCCTTGGCTAGCAATGGATAATCTTCTAGAAAAGCTCTCCTTTTATCTTTCCTGATTCTGATAGGATTAGGAATCATTACAATATCCGTCTTCTTTCTTTCCTTCATGTGAGGTAATACTGTTTCTGAAAGCACAC